ATCGATTTTACTATCATAATTTTCTAATGCTTTAGGCTACATAGATGGGCTACTCGTAAGATGCAATCGATGCACCAAAATTGATTGACGATAAACTTTGTTTGATACAATTATCAAAAATCTTAACTATATTATTTATGAGATTATGATATATTATTTAATATTACTTAATATTATATTATTATATGAATCATATGTAAATCATTTGTACATTCAGTGGTATAATTTGAAATGTTTCAATATTCAATGAGCGAATAAATTCATTTAAAAATAATCAAGATATAGTGCATTTCATTTATTTCTAAAAAGCAAAACATTTCTTTTTATGTACTTACATAAAAAGATATAAATGCTAATTATCTTCATTGTTTCATACGACATATCAATTAGAAAATATCAAAATTTGAAAAGGAAAAAAAAAAAACAGAATAGATTTTGTTTGTAGATAAAAATAAATTTAAATTTATTATAATTTGAGCGAAATTAATTTTTCTATACTGCAAAATAATGGCTGATTATAGAACATTGTTTAAAATTAATCAAATATGTTAGAGAGTAGTATTTATGTAAAATAAAATTTTATATATCATTTAATATGTTCATATACATATATACATATATGTAGAATAATTTATTTGATAAATTACATACTTTTAATTTTTATTTTTTTTGTTTTTTTATCGAATCCAATTTGTTTGATTTAATTAGCTTGTTATAGTTTAATTCATTTGACCAAATGTTTATTTCTTTTTTCTTTTCTTTTTGAACTTATAACATAAAATTATATTTTTAAAATTATATTTAATTAACTTATTGTTATATATGTATATTATTAATTAATTATTAATTATATTAATAAATAATTATATTAATAAATAATTATATTAATATATTATCTAATATATTAGAATTTTTATTTGATTTAATTAATTGATTTAATTTGATTTATCAATTCTTTATTAATCTTTTTTATTTCAATGATTTCATATAATTTTCAATTTGATTTTTTGTAAAACTATATAAATTTCTATAAATTTTTAATATTAAAATTAAGATTCTATAAATTTTTTCTAAATTATTTAATTTAATTTACAATTATTTTTTCAAAACAATTTTTCTTGATTTATTTAATATCAATTTTGCCTAATTTATTATTAGATTCATTCGTACCGAATCGAATAACAAAATGGAATACCTAGTTCGATATAATGACTAGATATAACGACTAGTTCGATTATCGATTGCAGTCAACATTAATATATACATAAATTTATTCCAGTCTTGGTATTAATAATCGCATCACGTACGAACAAATCGGATATAGAATAAACAGAGAGAGAGAGAGAGAGAGAGAGAGAGAGAGAAAGAGAGAGAGAAAGGTGTGATTGAATTGTAATAAAATTCGTGTTCGTATTTATTGCGAAATGTTACAAGTATTGCTAATCTCTAATGAAATTAATAAAGCAATTTGTCCAATAAATTAATACTAATCATTCTAATTTAAAATAACTTTTATCTTATGACAATGTATTATTTTTACAAAGATTTAATTTAATATTATTTTCAATGTTTAAATATTTTAAATATTGAGATATTGAAATTTAATGAAAATATATTATCATTATAGCAACATAAACAAATCTAAGTAATCAGAATATATATTATAAGTAATGATTTTGAAGTCTTTCGAAATTTAGATATCAAAGTTTAAAAAGAAAATTCTAATTCATTTTATATCAAATCAATTATTTTTCAATATCGACATTAGGGATTTTTTTATAAAATTTGAATTGTAATATAATGTAATCTGCATAAAATTAGAAAGAATTGAAATCATTGTATAATTTCAAATTTGTTTAAGAAATACGAAAATTTCCTAATTTTTTATTTTAGAAAATCAGATTCTTATAATTATATATATATCTCATTTATTATTATCTTATACAATTAAATATATTCAAGCTGATGTTCATATATTCAATTTCGTATTAAAAATAATAAATATCTAAAGATTATACAGAAGAAATTTCATATTAAATACATAATTTAAAAAAGTATATTGAAATTTCTTGAATCTAATTCGCAATTTTGCTATGAACGATAATTAAACGTAAATCACGTAATTTCGGAAATAATATTTAGCTTCGATTGGTTAAAGGGATTTCTTCGAAAATTTTGATTGATCAGTCACATAAATAAAGAATATTAATGTAAGAAACATAGTTCTTAGTATTCAGATAGACTTGATTAATCGCTCGTAAATACGCAACCAATGTTTTTCGTTCTTTCGTATATTTGTAACCCCAAGTTTGCTTGACTAAAATGTCAACCAGCCATAATTCCTCATATTGAGCTCACATCGTAATCTTATCAACCTATGGATATGAATATCAAGGACTTTAAGAGCTTTACATAGTCCCACGTTTGTACTTTTAAAATATTCCATATATAGAAAAAACTATCCAAGTGATTCGTCTCTTTATTTATTAAAGAAATTGCGATGAAAATAATGAATAAAAATGCATTATTATTTAAAAATATGAATAAAATAATTTATTTTGTCAAAATGCTATATTCTTGTAACTAATATCGAACAGATATTCAAAATATCATATATATATGTATAAGTTTTGAAGTTAATTATTAATTTTCAAAGTTTACGTGTTATAGATATTAGTATTATATTTTGAAGAAATAATTCAATCGGATTTTATACATCATAATAGATTTAAAATATGTAATAAAAAACATTTAAAAATATAAATGATTTTCATAAAGTTTTTATTATTTACAATTTTATTTCAAATTCAAAATTATTACGATATCTACTCTATATAATTTTCATTTAAAATATTTTTTTTATTTCTAATATTTACTGTACTACTGTACTACTAATAATCACATGTAGATATTTAAAATCTAGAACATACTATATCATGTTAAGCTATAGAAAGTAATTAGTACATATTATGTAACAAAAAAATTAATTAAATTACAAGAGATTTTTATGTTTTTTAAATAATTTATATTTTAATATTTTTAACTTTTATGATAAAAAATAAAGCATTTTTTAATACACAAGTATTACAACATCAATGAAATATTTATTGACAACTTTTTAATTTTTTATGATACAATAGTAAAATGAAATATATTATAAGTAAATTAAATAAGTCAAATAATTTGATAGAACAGTCGACAATTAAAAGATTGAGAAATTAATAAATAGATGAAAAATTGATCAATTTTCATTCTATTTTTGCAAAATCAAATGAATTATTTAATTAAAATTAAAAATAAATTTGGAAACTATTTAACATATTTTTAATAAGGAAAAATCTTAAACTTTTATAAATATTATTTGTAAGAATATTGAAATTATTTTTAAAATAAATATAATCTCGATAAATATTATGCGAAATATAATTTATAAATTCAAGATCAATTTCTTATTCAATGAAACACAATAAATGCGATATCGATATTTTTCAATGCAATATCTAATAAATAAACAAATCTTTAGTCAAATGAATACTATACTGATTCAATCTTAGCTCTGATCTTAGGCCATAGAAAGTTCTTCCTGGTACGTTCACTGGCTAGAAGGATGAGAAGTAGGTGTTGGTAGACGACAGTGAGTCGTGAACGTGGGCCGTGATCCAGGGTCTCCACCAGTACTAGTCTTACTGGGAAATGCTGTTATCCTACCCTCGAGGCCCAAGGTGTACCGCAAGGACACGAAAGTGGCAGTTTTTGTCGTCGTCGTTCTATCGTTCAGCTTGGCACACGAGCTAAAAGCTTTTTTTCTCGCGCCGAGTTAGTGGAGACTCCGAACTCGCTATATTATTGCATCGATAAATACGCCTACTTCTTTGTCTTGAAAGAACTGTGCAAGCGCTATTTTAACTTTCGTTGTTTGATCAAAATTAAAAAGGAACGATTTGGAAGAAAAAAAAAAGTTCGAAGATCTTAGTATAAATTCGATATACAATATAAATGATATTTCAAAATAAATTTCATAAAGATATATTTCATAAAAATATATTTATTGGACATTTTTAATAAGAAATTCTCGTCACTCATTTTATAAAGATGTATGTATTTTCACTTTCGAGATGCTTAAAATTTGATTATTCTTGTAAGAAAATATATATTAATATATTAAAGTTTGTTTGAAAATATTAAATTAGAAATAATAAATGTTCTTTGTTTATTAAAAATTGTACACAACAATTACAGAAATTATTCAATGCTTAAATAAAATATTTTTTTATTATTTTTTTAATTATTAAATGGAACATATCCATCAAATTTGGATTCGAATTGCAACTAAAATCGATATCTAATTTAACTTCAACCAAACTATAATATAATTCCATCAATTCAGATTCAATTCTAAGTTAAATTTTAACCTAATTCAAATTGAATTCCTAAGCCATATAAACTTATTATAACAAAACTCCAACTTTAAATCTAATTCTAATTCTACCCTAGCTCTTTTTTTTTTTTTTTTGCTTTTTTTTTATTATTTTATTTTTAGTATACAGAAAATCTTCATAAATATTTCATATTTCATATAGAATATTGTCAGATTCTTGTAAGTTAAAATCTTCACAATGATCTTCATTGCAAAATTCATTCAAGACAAATGCTTTGAAAATTTAATTCAATTAAAAACAATTATCAAAAAGATATTTCTCAAAGTCATAATTCAAAATTATTAATAATATGTTATTAATAATATTCTTATTGCTATTATTATTATATTCTTATTACTATTATATAATTATTACTTTCAAATAATTTTTCTTTAATCGTCGTTTCTTACCGTTGTATCATCTTGCAAACTTATTTATAAATAAGCATCATAACTTATTCATAAAGTTCTTTTTTATTTATTCTTAAACAATATAGACAAATATTGTCTATAATACATATAATCCACTATATAATCTCCTTCGTTTCAACTAACTTTATATTTGCCTATTCCTTGTATTCAGGCCGCGATCTGATGTCTGGTATATCACACTGCCTATATATGCACGCATGCGATGTAGAAGTGGCGCAGAAGTGATGCATGGATGCGAGTCAGTGTCTCCAGTATTCTTAAAGAGTGCTATTTATACTCCTGACTGCACAAGCTAAAAGAACGGCTAAAGGAGCGGGTTCCTCAATAAGGCAGCAGGTAGGCTGTACAGTGATTCAGAGGCAATTTTTCCAGTTGCTCCAGACAGTGGCTCGATTCTCTGTATGCAGTGCTCGCTTCTATCCGCCACCGTCGATTTCTGTCTCTTTCTTCTTCTTCTTTTTCATTTCTTTGTCATTCTCTTCTTCTGTACTCTCGGTCTTTCCCTTGTATTGCCTCTTTTTTTTTCGCGCATCCTTCATGCCACTAATTTCGAATCATAGATCTTGTTGTCACTTTGATCTCTCATGATTGTCTGGTAACTCGGCTAGTAGTTTAAAGGACAAAAAACCAGGACAAGATTCTCACATGGCCATATGAATATACAGAATGTTAATGTATATGTGTAATGTGTATCTTTAAAATTTAAAATTAATTCTAGAAGTCAACATAATAAATACATAATATAACTTAAATTGCTTGTAATTTAATAAATAAGCCTCAGTTGACATTATATTACTTTTTGTATTTGTTTTGTGCTCTAAAATCGATATTAAATGTCTCAAAAATATATTAATTTATGTATACTTTACTTGGATATTGGTAAGTCGAAATTAAGAATTTATTAATGTGTAGTTTATTAAAGTATGAATTCTATTTGAAGATATTGTCATGGAATTATTAATGGATAAGATTTAATAATATTAGATATTGATGAATTAGAATTGGAATTTTCTTAAAAAATACTTTTTATTTTGAAAGATTTCAAATTTGTAATTCCTTGTATGAAATGATGTCTTCATATGAGATATGTTTATTCTTTCATAAGTAATAAAGATAAGTTACTGCTGTTGCTTTTTCATATAATAGAATAAGAAATGGATTTAAAAATATATATGAAACTGTAAATAAAATTTTTTCAATCTTTTCAAATATCTATATTTGATTTTGAATAATGAATAACGAATCACTATTATTTCTTTTGAATCTTTTTGATTTGCTTTTTTTTTATATTATATAATAAAAAAAAATTATACGATACTTTATAATTTTAAAAATAGTTTTTATTTTTTATATATATTTTATATATTATATTATTTTATATATTTGTAATATTATATATTAGTATTTTATATCATTATTGAAAATAATTATGAAATAAATAATCTATAAAATATATGATCTATAATCTATGAAATAAAAATATATTTTTGAAAAAATTTTTCAATGTATTTTCAAATAAATT